AGTTGACCTTTTATTTTTATATATAGATGTTCTTAACAAGTATATATGTGATCAGATTGTTTAAAATGCATAGCGCCAATATATCACATAGTTCTGATAATCTTCGTCTTCTTATTACACTATCGAAATAGTAGAAATACTAATAGTAGTGGCCGATGAAGAAAGAGAACAAAAACATCTACTCCAAATTAAATTTGTGAACATATATTTTTTTAAATGATAAGTAATATCTACATTATGATGTTGTGGGTACATTGTTACATTTCCTTAATTTCCAATTTCTACCTCGTTCTTTGTTACCTGTACTATAAAAAAGAACTCACAATTTGAAACCTAATCACTCTGAATAATAAGCTAATATTACCAAGGTAGGTCCTTGTCTCCTTTCCCCCCCCCTATTTCCAGTTTAGTTGACCTTTTATTTTTATATATAGATGTTCTTAACAAGTATATATGTGATCAGATTGTTTAAAATGCATAGCGCCAATATATCACATAGTTCTGATAATCTTCGTCTTCTTATTACACTATCGAAATAGTAGAAATACTAATAGTAGTGGCCGATGAAGAAAGAGAACAAAAACATCTACTCCAAATTAAATTTATGAACATATATATTTTTAAATGATAAGTAATATCTACATTATGATGTTGTGGGTACATTGTTACATTTCCTTAATTTCCAATTTCTACCTCGTTCTTTGTTACCTGTACTATAAAAAAGAACTCACAATTTGAAACCTAATCACTCTGAATAATAAGCTAATATTACCAAGGTAGGTCCTTGTCTCCTTTCCCCCCCCCCTATTTCCAGTTTAGTTGACCTTTTATTTTTATATATAGATGTTCTTAACAAGTATATATGTGATCAGATTGTTTAAAATGCATAGCGCCAATATATCACATAGTTCTGATAATCTTCGTCTTCTTATTACACTATCGAAATAGTAGAAATACTAATAGTAGTGGCCGATGAAGAAAGAGAACAAAAACATCTACTCCAAATTAAATTTATGAACATATATATTTTTAAATGATAAGTAATATCTACATTATGATGTTGTGGGTACATTGTTACATTTCCTTAATTTCCAATTTCTACCTCGTTCTTTGTTACATGTACTATAAAAAAAAAACTCATATTCTGTATACTATTGATTAGATAACAATCTGTAATTACTAGTTTTTGTGTTTGTTTTTTTATAACATTTCTCTCTTTAGAAAAACAGAGTTTTGTAGTACACCTTTGTCGGGATGACGATTTAAATGTTTGCATGAAGGTAATATATTGGTTCATTGAATTTTTTCTGTACACTTTTCTAGTTCTTTCGTAAATATCTTGAATAAAAAAGAAAACAAAGTAGAGTATATGATAAATGTGTTTGCTGTTGTTATTTGATTTATACTTTTTTTATTAAATGAAATATTAGTTTTAGATTACTATTGGAATGTAACTTGAATAGCGTCAAGATTTCTAAATGAAAAAGCTAAGATTATTTGTAGAAAATTTTTCGATTATTTGTTGAATAATGGGGATGAAATTAACTGAAAGTGAAGATACATTGTACATCTGTTTTGTTTTATTACGAGACTCCATGGTGGAGAGGATCTTGAATCCAATAAAGAACCGAGCCCGAAGTATTTAGGTTCCACGTTGATATCCTAACCTTTGGACCATAAATTCAGGTTCCAGTAGTTTACTTTTCCAAATACAATCAATCTGTTATATTGTACAACATTCTTCCAATGTCATCAGTAGGTGACTACTTAATGCTGAAAGTGATTGAGCTCCAGTACTTATGACTTTTCACTTGGATGAAATAGCTCTCAGGTGCTTCTTGGTTTTTGATGGTTACCTAACTATGGTTATTTGTTGATGTAGGCTGTAAATTATAACAATCTCTAGGGCCGTAATTCATTTTTGTATTGTAATTGATCAGTCTCTTATTGGCATATGTGCACTCTGTGCGTATTGTCTCGATATTGCCTTGAGTCACAACCAACATAAGCAGAGATAGATGTTAGTTAGTAGTGAGATGCAGGACTTGCGATTCATCCTATTTGGGACCTGTCAACTGGATGTACCTGTGTCCCAGAGTTGATGTTCACTCTGGGACTCGAACCCATTACCGTTCGATTCAAGCACCATCGCATTATCCACATCAGTGTAAAGATTCAAACAACCAATACAAAAATGAATTAAAACTTCATCCCATTGCACAAGCTAGCAGCTATTTAGACGTATTAGCTAAATGGATAACGCGACGGGGTTTGAAGCGAACAGTAATGGGTTCAAGTCTCGGAGTGAATATCCACTCTGGGACGCAGGTATATCCAGCTGACAATCCCCATATAGGACGAATCGCACGTCCTGGATCCCACTACTAGCTAGCATCGGTCTCTGTTTATAATCTCTAGTGCCTCCTATATTAATCACACATTGAGATTGTCAAACTGGTCCAGCTTACTTCCCTTGAATCTTTCTAATTCACCAAGTCGTCTATGAATAAATCAATAGCATATTTGAGGCTCATGTTATTATTAACATACGACTGTGTTAACCAGCCTTATAGAATATATGAAACTATTTCTCTCCAGTTATTCCCTAGACGAAAATTTAGTTTGACAATTTTGCATCATAGTTTAGTCTGTCAAATAAACAGTGAAAAGTTTTAGATAAATGTTGGTTTTAATTTTGACAATGATGCAGATTGTTTAATTATAATTTCATAAATTTAGCGAGAGTAAAACTATCACGAAACTTATTTTCAGATTTTTCTTACTAACTACTGTTATATCCCCTGGTGAATTATTACTGGTAAATCTGAGGTCTATTTATGGACAAATGTAATATGTCTATTTCCTATTGTATAGTTGTTAAATAACTGACCTAATCGTATTCGTGTTCTTCTTATCATAACCCTTATTTTCACCTTTGAACTATTATTATTGATTACTTTCCCCCTATCCACAGCCACATTGGCTAATTATTGTACAAATGCTATTTTTCTATTTTTTGGTATAATTTGGTCTGTTTGGTGAGTATATAAACCCAGTATGCTTGTGAATAATGATTCATATTGCCGAGGCTGTTATTTGTGTTCCGCACTTAACTGGCTGGGCTAGGCAGATAGGAAGGACCGAATAGCACCTAAGACTGCTCGTACGATTTCAAGTATCATTTGCGTCCGATCAATAAATTCACTCCTCTCTAATTGCACGTTCATATATATTACGAGCCCATACGTTATAACAACTACCTGGAACTATCTCATATGTTGTCTATCAAATGTATCTCAATTTTGTGTTTAATACAAAAGTAGGTCACTCGTGTTTTATTTCCTGAAAGAGATGACCATTGAATAAGTAGAATCCTGTTAGCACTTAATGATCCAGGCACAATATAATCCAAATGGGATTTTTTGGAAATTGACAATAGGTTCAACACATCTAGATTTAGAAATGGTAACCTGGATACAATGTACAGAGAATTTTAAAAAAATTGCAACCAAAACGATTACGTACTTTTAATCCTTACTTAACTAATCACAAAGTTGTCATAAAGAAGCAAGTTTACTTCAATTTGTATCATAAAGCCACTTTTATATTCCATCTTGTAGTTGTGTAAATAAACTAAAATGAAACAGCTCTCCAGTACTTCCTGGTTTCAATGGTTGACTAACTTGGATTAATCCATGATGTAAACTAAGAAAATGAAATAGTCTCTACAATCCCTCTGTGCTAATTATAATCGTATACTTCCTAATGGCTAAATTTGAGATGCAACTTCAGGAATTATATTGAAAGACCGTGACTAGCGAAGTTATGTCATATTGGATGTAGACAGTTATCTATTTCAAGGAACGTGAAATGATCGAACAATATTGCGAATGGTTGGAGGTTAGAAATGTTCATCATCGAATACCAACCCGATGATTTAGCGATTAAACACTTGCCACGAAACTGAAGGTTGTGGGTCCGATCTACCTCGATAGAGTAGCGAAGAAGAATGGCTGGGGGAGTCTTATACTAGATTGAAATATATGTTCATTGTTTTTTTGGTTTTAAAAAGTTGTATAACTGAACAATATCCACAATATATACTACGAAAATAAATTTAGTTTTCGGATGATAATCTAAAATAATTTAAATTTGTTATATCTGTTGTGTTGAATATATTTCTTTCAAATGAATATACAAATAAATATATATAAAATTACTAAAATCTCCAGAAAATCCCCATCTCATAATGATAATATGCTCACTAGTTACTGGCTCCATGAGGTATGTCCTGGAGTTCTAGTGAGAAGCAGTAACCAGTGGTGCTCAACTAGGTCTGTTGTGAGATATCAACTCACTGAAGACATTGGAGAATGGTTGCTCGATTTCGTGGCTTGGTTTAAGTTAGACATTAACACCTCTGGATGCCGGCTCAGTGGTCTATCGGTTAAATGCCCTGGTGCGAGACTGGTAGGTGCTGGGTATGAATCTCGTGAGGTGGGATCGTGGATGTGCACTTCTGAACAGTCCCATAATAGAATGAAACGGCCCTCCAGTGCTTCCAGGTTTTCCAAAGTGGTCTAGCTTCAATTGATTCATGATCTCAACTATAGAAAATTACTAAAATCTCCACAAAACCCCTTCTGAACATACCACTGATCAACTTTAAGTTCTTTGTCAACTTACATTACTCACTTTCTACATGACACATTCACCATATGACTAAATTAGACAATAAGAGAAAATAGTCACACTTTTGATTTTTTTTTCTTCATAATTATCACTAATGAGCTAAATGAAATAGTATCAGTTTACATTCAACTAATGACATTGACTACTAATGTCAATTATCAATTCATTAAAAAACGAATCTCTTTAAGTAATATATAATATTTGAGAGAGAAAAATGAAACCGGGTCAATCGTATACATTACTTTTGTTCACTTGATCTTATGAATCATCTTTTATATTTGTTCACATGGCTAAAACAAAAAAATATATTATTTAGAGTTTTTCATTTGCGGATTTTGCTTATTATTATTATTATTATTATTATTATTATTATTATTATTATTATTATTAGGAGTAGCAGTAGTAGTAACAGTAGTAGTAGCAGTAGTAGTAGTAGCAGTAGTAGTATCACTATTACTGTTATTATTATTATTATTAATAGTAGTAGTAGTAGTAGTAGTAGTAGCAGTAGTAGTATCACTATTACTGTTATTATTATTATTAATAGTAGTAGTAGTAGTAGTAGTAGTAGTAGCAGTAGTAGTATCACTATTACTGTTATTATTATTATTAATAGTAGTAGTAGTAGTAGTAGTAGTAGCAGCAGTAGTAGTGTCACTATTACTGTTATTATTATTATTATTAATAGTAGTAGTAGTAGTAGTAGTAGTAGTAGTAGTAGTAGTAGTAGTAGTAGTAGTAGTAGTAGTAGTAGTAGTAGTAGTAGCTTAAATTTCAACTCATTATACATAAATAACGTAGGTATTTTGTTATGGTTAAAATGATATTAACTGGAAAAAAACTCCATAAAAATCACGAAGTCATAGATGCCAATCGTATTTGTTCTCAGGAATTCAACCTACACAACCAATATAAAGAATTCAGACTACATATTCATATGTTACAATTTAGAAACTAGAATTTATTAATGTTGTATTAGGAGGTTATTTCAAATCTGATATTGGCATAGACTTTATGTATAAGTGATTTGAATAAGTTAGTTGAGTGATTCATTACTGAATGTGATCTAATACTATTCTAGTTAATTCATTAGTGATGATTATGAAGAAATCAAGTATGATCATTTTTTCTCACTGTCTAAATCAGTTACATAATGAATGAATTAAGTAGAAGGTCAGTAATGTAATTCAATGAAGGATTATTGTTTAAAGTTATTCATTGTTGATGTTGTATATTATTAAGAATCAGAAAATCTTTTCATCTAAGATGCTAAGTGGTTGAAGATATTTGTTGGAGAAGCCTGAACTTGTGATTGGCACCTATTAACAATTCGTGCTTACAGTCTTGAGGGAATCGATGCTCTTTATAGAATTTCAAATAATATCAATAAATAACTGCACATACATCGCAAGTTACACCATGAAATATTCACCCGATTATGCAGGAGAACAGTCACCACCAGAATAGCTTAATAACAACATATCAAACTGAAAGGTCAAGTGACCCAGGTTCAGATTATACAAAGAGCTTCAGTTCTCTCATGACTATTGGCGCATTTTGTTGAATAGTGTCCGCTAATAAGAAATCAATGTACAAGGTTTGTTGTCAGCTACCTTCAACCACCTACTTTTATCTACACGAAATTTTTCAACTTAAAATGGAATGCAGACTTCAATTAAGCATTGTTTAGTGATCTGATTTTTCAGGATGATTCTTTATCTAGTAATATTGTAATTATTCAGTTTCATTATTTGCGTGCGAAAATTCTACTTTTCCGATAATTTAAGATAATTATGTTTGTTTGCCAGTTATACAATTACTAGACAAGATTTTTTGTGAATACGGAGATTTTATTATTCTTTTCGTGTAAACTAAGTAATCTGTAATTATCATATACTGATTAAAGATATGTTAATGACAATTCTACTTCAACAAATACACTAAGATTATGCTATAAACCAAATGTAAATGGAGTATTTTGATTTGAATTTCACATACACTAAATAATTATCAGTGTCCTCCTCAGCGGCGTGCATCCACAACCCCTCGCGCTGGACTCGAGCCCAGTATCTTGAGTCTTGCAGGCGACACTTAATCTCTAAATCAGTAAGTCGGCATACGGTGGTATCATTGTCTAACATTAATCAATCCACAATGTTATAGAACCATTTTCCATTATCTTCGGTGTGCAACTGCCTGACACACGATACGGTTGGATTCTACTGGTCACGGCTTCTCACTAGAGCCCTGAACAAATCATAATCTTCAGTTTGGGGTCGTGGAGAATGTTGAATTTCATTGAAATCATGAACTCATCAATGTTAGACCATCACTGAAAACCTGGAAGAATTGGACGGCTGTTTCGCCCCAGTACGGAGCTTCTCAGCAATGCACATGCAAGTATTTCAACCTGATATGTCGTGTCGATTATGAACGCTATATTCAGATCCTAAGCTATTCTGATAACCCCAGGCTAGAAATATTCAGCGACTTGAACACCAGAGAGAAGACATGAGTATGAGAGAAACACTTTACTGCAAGGTTCAATCTTGTTACAGAAAATCATAGGTATTTATAGATGTTAGAGTATGTTAAATCAACATCCTATTTCAGCCAATCCATTTACGACATATTATGCTACCGACCAATAGAAGCACGCCACGTTGGAGCTCTAGAATGTTCTATCGTACTCTGATTGGCTGGGTCTCTTCGGCTCCTTTTTGGGCCTCTGGAGGCTCCGTCGAAGTTCTCCGGAAGCCGACTCAACACAACCATTTGATGATATATATTTATTTAAATTTAGCAATAATCTGTTATATCTTATTTGAAAATGGTTTATATCATAAAGTGATAGTAAATTTTAAACTATTTATTAAATTCTTCAAGACTAAACCAACAGCGATATCAACCTTTTTTTGGTATTCTTTATCAATGTTTGCTAACAAATGCATACACAAGTTCTAGATTTAGTATGACAAGATCAATATATGGATAGTTGAATTTACCAATGAGTACTTGAATAAGATAGAAACGTTGATCGGTAATGCATAAATTTACATTCATTGATTCAATATATATACATATATCTATATACTTAAATGCTTAATTGACTGACTATATGGTGTTTAATCAATATTAGTAACAGAATTCTATCACACGCCTAGTGATTATTTGCATTACAATTGAGTGTAACAACAACATCTTGAAATTAGAGTATCAAAAGAAGGTATCCACTAATTTTAAATATTGGATCAATATTCCAGAATATTGTTTACTCAATCAATATTAATGAAATGAATGATGAATTAAATTAAAAATCGGGACAATCAGAAAAGAACACAACAGAATATGTATACCCTGAAAAATAAATCTATCAAGAAATGAAAGATATACAAAAATGAAACCATATGATCTAATATAAAAACTGAAATCATTTCAGTTCTTTATTAAGAAAAGAAAGTGAAATACAAGCAAAGATGGATAGTGGCTAGCAGTGGAATCTAGGACGCGCGTCTCGCTTTATTTGGGACTCGTCAGCTGGATATATCTGCATCTCAGAGTTGATGTTCACGCTGGGACTAGAACTCAGTTTCTTTCACTTCAAAGGCCAACGCGTTATCCACTTAGCTACTGAGTCCTGTTAGTTACTTGCTTGTGTAATGGGTTGAAGTTTAAATTCACTTAGTATTGTTTGGCTGAACCTTCTCATTGATGTTTAAGACTGCAACTGGTCAGTCTCTTATAATGCTTAAGAATTAAGGCTATATCGAGTCAATACACACAGTATATCCATATGTTGATAACAGACTGATCCATTGCAGTTCTTAACATCAATGGGAAGATTCAAGAAAACAATACTAAGTGAATTTATAGTGGAAAATAGAATAATATACTTTTTTTTCTAAGTATCATTAAATAATATTAATTCAGAAAGATTAACACTACATACTTACTTACGCCTGTTACTCCCAATGGAGCATAGACCGCCGACCAGCTTTCTCCAACCCACTCTGTCTTGGGCCTTCCTTTCTAGTTCTATCCAATTTTTGTTCATTCTTCTCATGTCTGTCTCCATTTCTCGACGCAATGTGTTCTTTGGTCTTCCTCTTTTCCTTTGACCTTCAGGACTCCATGTGAGGACTTGTCTTGTGACGCAGTTGGGTGATTTCCTCAATGTATGTGAAAGATTAACCTTAGATTAATTGATTTTTGTGATAGGGGATAGTAAATAGTAGAGTATGATGTGTAAAAAGTATTTTACTTCTCTAAACTAATCAAATCCAAATAAGAACAATTCAGTCGTTTTTAATTCGACATTTTAGTGTAATAAGTATATGGATAACAGTTGAAATATCAATCATGCATGTTTCGTCTTTATTGAGACACTTCAGCTGGGTATCCCTAGTACATTTCAGTATTGTCATTAGTACATAAGTTACTGCTTGAAACGTCAACGTGTTAACCATCAGGTTACAGACTCTAAGTAATCATTAATCTGTCCAATATGCATGACAATAAAGAACTGGGAATAACTATCATCAATGATCATTTGGTTGTTTAATTTATCTTCTATACATTGGTTTCTTGATAGGTGGCTGTAGAAAGCCTTAAGAAAGTTTTGGGCTTAAATTTAGTGACCATTGGAAAGTATTAGCATTATATCGGAGAAATTCATTTTCATATGCAAGATTTGAAATTACAACATCCAGTAGGATAGTCATAGTCTTAAACATGGATCTATTCTGTTCATAACATTTTTTTCTGTAGTAATTATTCATGATCAACTGCCTTTGATAAACAGAATTATTACTTAAAAAGGCTTTATTGTAAATTGAAATTTACTTAGTATTGTTTGTAAGGATCTTCCCATTGATGTGTTAGGACTGCAGCTGGTCAGTCTCTAATTGGCATATGTGCATACTGTGCGTGTTGCCTCGATATAGCCTTAATTCACAAGCATTAGAAGCAGTAATGGATAGTGGTTAGCAGTGGAATCCAGCTTGACGCGCGTTTCATCCTATTTGGGACTCGTCAGCTAGATGTACCTGCATCTCAGAATTGATGTTCACTCAGAGTGGCGTTTGAAGCGAAAGGTTCCGGGTTCGAGTTCCAGAGTGAACATCAACTCTGAGATGCAGGTACATCTAGCTGACGAGTCCCAAATAGGACGAAATGCGCGTCGTGGATTCCACTGCTAGCCACTATCCATCTTTGCTTACCGTGCTTTATTGTAAATTGTTAATTCTCTACAAGGCTACACTTCTTCCTACGTAGGGAAACAATAAAATTAAAGTTTCCTATTAATTGGCTTTTAATTAACTGATTACAAAATAGCCATCTCATTCATTTCACAAAACTGTGAGTTTAATCAATGCAACACAATACATCTACATGTTTGTTTAAAGAACTGACAACCATTCCGATCTATCTCACCATTTATTTTCCAAAGATTTGCCAAAAAATTGTTTTCTTAATATTCGATCCCATGTATACACAAACTTTACACACACACAGTAACGTCCTTTTTTCCCAGGAAAAATAACACATACTAATGTTAACGGTAAAATTGAACGGTATTTATAAATAGTGTTTCGTATTGTTGTCCTATGAAATTGTTATTACATTTGTAATGTTTTTGGTCTTCCAGTTGTTAGTGTTAAGAAGTACAATCAATCAGTCTCTTTTGATATACTCAACTTCCAAGGGGATTACTTAGATATTACCATTTCATCCAAATGATTTTCTTAAGCAGATTTTGATATTTATTATCAATGAGATCTAGGAGATGTGTATCATCCTATTTGTGGCTGGTTAGTCACTGCATTTCAGTAATTATGTTCATTCGAGGATTCAAACACATAGTCCAACGCATTTTCCTGCTTGGTTACTGAGTCCATACAGGTGCTAGTGATAGTTGTTTAAGACCAATGGTACTGGGTCCTAGTCTCAATATAAACATCAATAAAAGCTCAGATACACCTAACTGGCAAATCCTAAACAAGGCAAGATACGCTTCTTCGATCTCACTCTTAATCACTATTAAGTTAATTACTTTCTTCTAAAATTTCGCATCATTAACAACTACTTTCAAGAAAACATTAAGACAAAGATAATTTTGCTTTTTTCTAAAAAGTAATTTACTTATCACTAAGGTATTGATACACACGCAAACATACACAACACATTTATGATATTAACTTTTCTACTCTGAAGTTTGTTGTATTCTGTTTTGTTTTTTTCTTCTTCTAAAGAATCAATAAAACTTTGTATGATGCATAGATTAGTGAATCTCTATGCATATTATGAAAAATACAACATGTAGTAACTTGTATAAATGGATTGATTCAATTAATACAATGCTTATATGGTACCGTTCTAGTTACATCTCATATTAGTATTCATATCATTATTATTATTATTATTATTATTATTATTATTATTATTATTAGTAGTAGTAGTAGTAGTAGTAGTAGTAGTAGTAGTAGTATGGTGGTGAATGAGAACACGACTGGGGGCAATGTATTTAGACACAAATTACAGACTATTTCACTAAATTCTCATAACCATGCAATGAACAGTTAAGCTGCAAAATAACAAGCAATTGTCTCAATCTTCACTTTGCCTTCTGTAAATATTAGTTCATCTTCTCTAATTTCATTGTTCATGCATTTTCCTACCCATTGCGCATCATTTCAGTTCTTTCCTTATCGGTCTTCTGCCAAAATACATTCTATGTCTAACCATCACCATACACTACTTATATGGATATAAGTAGACCACACCACAGTATTATCTATATATTAAGTCATGAAACCAAATTTACTATCAACTCTTATGTATGACGTCATGGAATAATTTAACTTTATAAAGGTACAATACCATCAAAATAGAAAAAAAAATTTTTTCAAGTTATATCCAACAGTAATCACATTCCATCTCTCTCTCTCTTTCACTCACTCATGTATACCGTTATTATTACGTAATCTTATTTACTTTACAAATGTATATGTATGTTCAAATTGTTCAATTGCATAAAATTCTTCGTGTAAAGTTCATGCTAATTATGAAGAAAAAATGCAATGTACAATAATGAAGTAATTTATATCTTGTCTGTCAATTACATCATATTCTTGACATACTTTTGTAGTTAAGACATGACAACAAAAATAAGCTTTAAAACTCACATTAAGAGTCTATTCTTTTTGTTTGTTTTCTAACCAGCGGATACTGTAAATTTATTGGCATTCTTTTTTAGAGCTGATTAAAAACATAATAGTAATCAGTCATAGAGTATTAACTAAAATATCACACATTTTATTGACGTTACATTATTTCAACTATACATAATTACTAAAATCTTCACAAAACCTCCTTCTGATAATAATAATCATATGCTCACTAAAGACTAGCTCCATGAGGTATTTCCTGGAGTTCTAGTAAAAAGCATTAACCAGTGGAGTTCAACCAGGTCTGTTGGAAGATATCAACTCACTGAAGACATTGGTGAAATGGTTGCCCGACTTCGTGGATTTGTTGAAGTTGGACATTGACACCGTTGGATGCCGGCCGGCTCAGTGGTCTAGTGTTTAAGCGCTTGCGCGCGAGACTGATAGGTCCTGGGTTCGAATCTCGCTAGTGCGGGATGGTGAATGTGCACTTCTGAGGAGTCCCACAACAAGACGAAACGGCCTTCCAGTGCTTTCAGGTTTTCCCTGGTGGTCTAGCTTCAATTGACTCATGATTTCAACAATACAAAATTACTAAAATCTCCACAAAACCCCATTCTGATATTCTTTTGTTTGTTTTCTTTTTACTAACCGGCGGATAATGTAAATTTGGTACCTAAATTGTAAATTTATTGGCATTTTGTTTATAGAGTTGATTAAAAACATAATAGTAATCACTCATAGAGTATTAACTAAAAAAATATTACATTTTATTGACGTTACATAATTGGAATTAGTTAAAACTAAACCCTGGATATCGTTTTCAGGCTAATAAGTACTCATCAGAAAGGCTTATGAGCAATCTCGAGGTAACTAATGTTTTCTGTGAGATTTGGATCTGAATCACTAAGTTCTATAATCTGCTACGTTACCATTGATCTATCCGGACAACAACTGTACTAATTTAGGACCGATATATTTGAATTGATCGATTACAGAGTATAGATTAATATCACTTTTGATTAAATGTTGATCAAATCCTAACGAATTAGTAGCAATAAAATCATGGTAAATATTTAAATGGAGGAACCCTAGGACCTGGATTTCACATTTTTGGGGAATGGGTTATTAATGTTTATTTGGAATTTTGCATGCATTTGACCACTATCACGCAAATATGAAGGCTGCAACTGAACTACAATAGAACTTAGATCATTTGCCAGAAGCCAATGTCATATTTATCTAGTTAGTAGGACTGGCTGAATTCTATTGATCAATATTTAATTATGATCACCTAAACTTACTGACTCAATACTACTTCGTTTTGATTGTAAGTTAGCTTGAGTCCATGGAAAAAAAGCTGTAATTGACATTGATACAAACAAATAATACATCAAAATCTATTTTGACTCATCATATACCATACAGTATTCATTATGCCTATCTAATTCAGTTATTTAATTTTAATACAAAAGATTGAAATCAATCTCTTTCTCTTTGTCAAGTGTTACATTATCCAAACAACGATTGATTAACTAGTTATTCAGTTGGTCACTTAATAATTGACAGGAAAAAAAGAAGTTTAAATTCACTTGGTATTGTTTGGTTGAATCTTCTCATTGTTGTTGAGATCTGCAATTGACCAGTCTCTTATTGGCATATATGCATACTGTGCGTATTGCCTCGATATAGCTTTAATTCACAAGCATTATAAGCAAAGATGGATAGTGGTTAGCAGTGGAATCCAGTTTGACGCGCGTTTCGTCCTATTTGGGACTCGTCAGCTAGATGTACCTGCATCTCAGAGTTGATGTTCACTCTGGGACTCGAACCCATTACCTTTCGATCCAAACGCCATCACGTTATCCATCCACCTAGCTACTAAGTCCTGATAGTCACAGTATGCACATATGCCGAAAACAGATTGATCGATTGCAGTCCTAAACATCAATGGGAAGATTTAGTCAAACAATACCAAGTAAATTTAAACTTCAACCTATTGCACAAGCAAGTGACTATCATTACTCAGTAGTCGAGTGGATAATGCGATGGTTTTTGAAGCGAACGGCGCTCGTTTCAAGTTTCGGAGTGAACATCAACTCTGAGATGTAGGTACATTCATCTGACGAGTCCCAAGTAAGACAAAAAACGCGCGTCCTCGATTATACTGTTAGCCACTATTCATCTTTACTTAAAAAAGGTGAAGACTTTTAAACTTAAAATTACGAGAAAAAAACAAATTGATTAAAATACCATCTATTCAAGTGTACAAAATTGTTTGTCTCCAAAATCTAATATGAATATTAATGAGAACTAGCACTAATTGTATAGATATGCATAGCATTTGTGAAACCTTAAAAAATATACATGCTTATGCATTGATTAAATAATGTTTTTATTGTAACTTTCATTATCGCTAAGGTTTCATATTCAGTGACCTGATCTGTTTAAAGATTAAAAATCTAGTTTTTAAATCATTTCAATAGTGAATACTTTATTCATCTTAGATAATAATGGTTACTTGTTTGAATCTTCCCATTGATGTTTAGAACTGCAAGTGGTCAGTCTCTTATTGACCATATGTACATACTGTGAGGATTGCCTCGATATAGCCTTATTTCATAAGCATTGTAAACAAAGATGGATAGTGGCTAGCAGTGGAATCCATGAATATATTATTTTAATCAGTAGTTTAGATATTATTTGACTAATTATGATTTATGTCTTTGAATTTTTATTTTAAACAAACGATTTTTATATTATGACTGTCAAATTTAAACCACGAATCTGTAATGGTTATTCAGATTTTATTAATTCGTGTTGATAATAATTGGCTTTAAGTTAATGCGATGGTTTTCAAGAAGTTGGATTGTAATTAGAATTGGAAACCAGGACTTTCCTTTCTCTCTGATGAATTTTATTTCTAACCTTCAAATCGTTATATATGGAGCCATCAGTTAACATTAGAAGATGAATGAGACAAAATGACAAAGTCAGGTCAACTCCTTCAATATGTACATTTAACGATAGAGAATGACCAGTTGCAGTCCTTAATATCAATAATGGGATAACATAAAACATTTCAAATAAAATTCATATTCGTCATGAGGGCTGTTTTATATCTGGACCCAATAGCTAAATGTAAACATCAACACTGTGGTGCAAGCAGATCAAATAGACGAGCTCCAATTGGGACGAAACACCTTTCTATGACATTAGTGTTCGTCACACATCAAATATAGTAATCTAATGTTTGGTTGAATATTTTGTGTAGATTAGTTTAATAATGTAGTGGTTTTTGGTCACAACTTGGTATCAGCTAGAACAAACTGTTGAAATTTAAGGGGAGACTAAACGACATTATGTCCAAATGTGAAAATCAGTAACAAAAACAACCTTCATCCTACCAAAATTTGAGCTAAGGATCTAAACAGTAGAAGTGTTATACATAAGCCATTGAGTTAGTGTTCTGTAGTTCAGATTTCTTAATTCAGAGAACTCGTGATATTATGGGACAATTATAGTTGGAGTCTAAAGATCGTAGTTTGTTGTTTGAACCCCAGGAACTCATTTTTTCAAGTTAATCACTGGTGACGTTTACTAGTTAACGATATGTTCCTTTGAAGTCAAATCATCGTACATACTATTACGAGAGATATTCTCAATTTAAAAAATACTTTCTCAATTAAATATTCAAATATGTTTATTATCTCCATGGTGATCTGTTACAGGGTTTACTGATAACGGGGAATATGTTAGACAACTAGGTGTTAGATATCTTAGTGATTGTTTCAAAAGTTTTGATACTAGTAACAAACAATGAAACTCTTCTGATTGAATAAACTCAGATTTTCGGGGATTTCTACATTACACATTCTATACAGATAGCTTGCTGTCTACTTATTTAGATAGGAAATAACTGTATCAGTGTTTTCCTTGGTAGCTATTATGAGTTTCTAATTTGGAGTTTTTCATAAAATATTTTACTTTGGATAAGCATTTCCTTTATTCATGTTAACAAAATGGATACATTTACAATTGGCCAACTACTGATTAGTGACCAATGTCAAGTTTGGCTAGTTCTTATGTCCTGATCGAATTGTATTGATTAATTTACGAATGATACTCTCCTAGGGATTGAAACGTGCATCACTCTTGAGGACCATCATTTCCCTTAAGATTGCAACTACGCTATAATGATGAGCACCTGCAAGTATTAAACTCAAGTCAATGATTTTCTCTCAATTACATCCACCAGTTACACGCTTTCAATTATGAAAATACCAAATCTCCACAAAATCTCCTTCTGATAATAATAATAATAATGATCATATGCTCACTAGTGACTGATTTCGAGAAGTAAATCCAGGAGTTCTAGTGAGAAGCAGTGACCAGTGGAGTTCAAACCACGTCTGTTGTTAGATATCAACTCACTGAAGACAAATGGTGAACGGTTGATCAACTTCGTGAATTAGTTGAAGTTGGACATTAATACCGTTGGATGCCGGCCAGCTCAGTGGTTCATCGGTTAAGTGCTCTGGAGCGAGACTGGTAGGTCCTGAGTTCGAATCTCGCGAGAGCGGGATCGTGGATGCGCACTGCTGAGGAGTCCCATAATAGGACGAAACTGCCGTCCAGTGCTTCCAGGTTTTCCATGGTGGTCTAGCTTCAATTGATTCACGCTTTCAACTATAAAATCAAATAGCCATCAAATACTTCCTAATGTCCATCGGTTCCCAAATTCACATTGATAAATCACTATAGACGATGTAAAAGAACTCTTTTCTTCCAAGCCTTCAATCCTGTTTCTTTTTTCTACTTTTCACCTCCTTATGCAATCACATGTTCGAAATTAGATCTTAAATCTAAATAGTTGAATGTAAAAAATGATTTTGTCAGTTAAGATGATATTTAATACAAATATGAGATGTAAATAAAGTACTTCACAAGGCTATATATAATAATAATACAAAAATCTCATAAATCATTTTACTAATATGTATTTGTATGTGAATGTATGTTTGTCCATTTGTATGTATGCGTGCATGTGTGTGTGTACAGTATAACATGTTTGTATTTTTTTCTACAAAAAAATTTGGTTTCACGTGAACAACCAAAACGTGATAGGTAAACTATGTATTCGATTTCATGAACTAGAAAATATTTCAATTAGATAGTTACTAGGTGTTTTTGTATTTAGGAAAAATGACAGAATCTAATATCAACTATGCTTCATAAATTGAAGACAAGTAATCTACCAATCACTTGTCATCAAGCACAATAGTATATTCAATAAGATTGATAATCCTTATTTTGTATTGACTGTAAAATTTAGGATCATCCTAGTAAATAATAATTCTACGAGTTTTATATAGTTGAAATCATGTGTCAGTTGAAGCTAGATCAACATGGAAAATCTGGAAACACCGACAGGCCGTTTCGTCCTATTGTGGGACTCCTCAACAGTGCGCATCCATGATCCCATGTGCCCCAAAATGAGGCCGAGAGTAAGTAGAGTCCGCTCTCCCTCTCCAAATGCTCTCACATGGCCACGCGTATAAAACCTCTGCCAATGAAGTCCTACTCACTGCCTTCTCATGGCCTTACTGTTGTTTACAAAATTGAGAGGACAAAAAACGAATGTCTGGCGCTTTAATCGGGTTGGTGGACACGGCGAGTTCGCCCAGGGGAGTTGGAAA